TTCGCACTCACCCCCAGGGCAGTGTTTAGCTCCGAGGAGCTGCCCAGCACCCTGTGAACCTCTAGGGGAGCAGCTCCGCCCTCACCCCAGTGGTGAGAATACAGGCGTGTTTGGGGGCCGTTTTACATCATCCATCCAGAACCCAAAACACTGCGGCTTAGACTCTGCCCCCGGCAGCCCAGGCTTCCTGGGAGAGAAGGGACCAGCCCCAGGCAGGCGACCCTCAGGCCCAGAGCCCGGGACTGGGCTCCCCCTCCCCCACCGGGGGGCCAGGGGAATCTGTACCCCGTGTGAACTAACTGCACGCTGTGCTCTGCATGCTCCCCTGCGCTGTCGGGACAGGCGACGTGTCGGGGACACAGAGGCTGGACTCGGCCACCGTGCGGACCTACTCCTGCTAATGCCCGCCCTCGGTGAGTAGAGCACCTGGCCCCGGGCCCACCAACTGGTGCCAGGCAAGGTGGAAGCTGCCAAGGACACCACCCGGCTGCTCCCTCGGTGGCTCAGCCCAGCACACAGATCACGGCTGCTGGGGACAAGGATTCTGCAGACACCTCTGTCTCTGTGCCTCTCTGTCTTGGTGGTGGGGCCAGAGCATGGCAGTAAAGGATGCAGACTCGGCGCCTGTCTCTGAGCTGAAGCCCTCTGCTTTGACGCTGGCTGGCATGCTGTCTCCTCCCAGGCATGGTTGTTGTACCACAGATGCACCAGGTGTGAGGCTGTGCCCTCGCTGGGTGCCAGCAGCCCAGCCCCTTCCGGAGCCTGGTTTTCAGATAGAGGCATGGAGTCACCCTGGCCCTTCTGGGCAGCTGCAGGTTGCACGGAGCCAGGTAGCCCCACTGAGAGCCTCTTCTGTCTGCTTCTGTCTTGCAGTCTACCCACACTACTTCTACCGATGACACGCGGCGTCCTCGAGCCCGCCGACCCGAGCAGGACCCCACGGCCCCTCGAATCTGTTGATACGTGTTATATGGACCGAAGATATTTTATTACAGAGTTTTTAATTAGTGAGAAATTCAAGAATACCATAGAGAAACTATTTTAGAATTTAATGTTTCTTATATTTATGTAACTTACGAGTCTTCATTTATACGGTGACTGACTTTTCCGTGGACTTCCACTCTGCATTACCTTTCCCATCGTCCTGTCCTTGTACTCAATCCTCGTCTGCAAAGGAATGTACTGTGATGCCTGTCTAAACATCCTGCAGACGGGTAGGGCTTTTGTATTGTGATCGTCCCTGTTTGAAATTTTAATAATAAGCTGAGCCCACGGAGAGGATTCTGCTGCGTCTCTCTGGACCCTGACACCGCCTTCGGGGTCGCCCTCCGGCAGGCCAGCTAGCGCCCCACAATCACTTTCACAGCCTCCTGCAGCCGTACCTTGCAGACTGACCTTCCCCAGGCCTTTATGAGCCAACGAGCGGAACTCGTTCTCCGTCTGCATTCCCGTGTGGGTGGCCTGCCCGCCTGCACCCAGGAAGACTGGCACCTGCTCCAAGCACTTCACTGGCACACCGTCGCCGACCGGCAGGGCCTGGGTGGGTCGCGGCGGTGGCTGTGCAGCCTCCTGTGCCTTCCCCCAGCTCTGCCGCGGAGGCGGGCGCCCCTGCTCACAGAGGACCAACCCCGCCCCCGCCGCGAGCGCCCTCACCACGCCTTACCTCGCCAGCGTGCACCGACTGCAGTCCAGGCTCCGCGCCCCATTCCGGTCCCTACACCCCAGTGGCAGCACCCCACTGGGGCAGCGCGGTGCACGGGCGCGTGCCTGTGGCCTGGCCTGCCCGGCCCCTGCAGGCTGGCCTCGCTGCTCGCGCGCTGGCTCGTATCCTGCAAGTCCTTGTTACGGCTCCGTTTTTCTACTAATCTTTTTGTGAACTTCCCGATTATGTAACAAAGTATGTACAGTCTACTTTTGAACTATTTTTATCACAGTATTATTTATTGTTGTCTTTCAATAAAGTACTGAAGCATTTTCCACTGCCAACAAAAAGACCTGAAGAGCAAGCCGTGAGGGGCCCCAGACATCTCCCTCCAGGCCCCCGAAGGGGGCACCCAGGAGCCTGGAAGTCCCCCCCACCCCCACGCCTCAAGGGGTGGGGGGATGCCAACTCAGGGGCAGTGGGCGTGGCATCCAGGCTGGAGGCAGGGTGGCCAGCATGAAAAGGGGTTCAGATGTCCCCGGACCTCTGACCCGAAGACCTAGGCCACCTGCCAGGCAAGGAGGGGCCCCGGGCCTGTGGACTCAAACAAGAACTGGTCCCAGGACAGTGCTGGACTGGGCCGCACCAAAGGTCCTTGGGAAGCCGCCCCCGCCCCCCCCTCCCCCGCAGGGGCCCGCAGCAGCCTGCCTGCACCTGTAGCCATGGTCCGCCCCAGCCTTCGTGCCTCCTGCTCCTCCGGCTTGGCCCACAGACGGCCCTGTGCCTTTAGGGCGGTCATTGAGGGGTGCCTCCACCCCACGTCCCTCCCCACCTTTCTTGAGGCTTTGTCGGGACCATCCCACCCACCTCTGACTTAGGTCGGAGACCCCCACCGTCCCGCCTTCTTCCAGGCCCGTGCCGCGTGCGCAGGCGCACCAGGGGAGCTGTGGGTTTGGGTTTTGCTGAGGCCACTTGGAGCTTGCTCTCGCTCAGGATGAGTTTCCGGGGAACCATAGCGGTTTCTGGGAAAGTGTGGAGGGTGGGCTGGAGGCGGGATCCAGGGTTTCTACCACCACCTGGCAGCTTCTTGCGTCACCTGCCACGAAGCATCATTTCATTTCATCCCTCTCGTTTTCTCATTTCCTTGGGGAAATGAGTGGCCGGCGAGGTTGCGGCTTTATCCCAGGGACCCCAAAGGGTGCCCTCCTCCAGGCCCTGTGTGAGGCTGGCATATCACACACCCCTGTACACAGGTGCCCAGGGTCTGCGCGGGCGAATCCCAACCGCTAGTCCCCAGGGAGGAGATGAGGGCCCTGGCACTGGTCCCTGTGCTGGGACTCCTGCTAGGGATGGGCCTGAGACAAGAAAGCGGAAGAATTAGATATTCAGATGACCCTTGACCTGAAATGGGGGTGGCTCCAAGGGCAGGTGAGCCCGGAGGGAGTATGCGGAACTGCCCTGCCCAGCCCAGGTATGCAGCAGACCCAGTGCTCAGCTGCCAGCTGAAAGGTCAGCGGTTCAGTCCTACCAGCCACTGGGGAGAAGGATGGAGCTGTCTTCTTGTATGCAGAGACGGACAGCCTGGAAACACGAGCTGTGCAGCTCTCCTCCCTCTGCACACACGGTCTCCTTGACTGAGTGGGCTGCCCAATAGGGTGCTTGGGGTTGGGATTTGGGGCTTCACTCAAGTGCATTTGCACCCTCCATCCCCTGATTGGCCCTTGGGTGCCAGGCCTCTGGCTGGATTTGAACCTCCAACCTTTCCATTAGCAGCTAAGCGCTTAGCTGCTGCAACACCAAGGCTCCTTAAGGCAAGTGCACAGCATGCACGCTTGCACGCGCACCCACACACTCACTGCCATGGGGTCCATTCCAAGTGCACACACATACCACACACACACACACACACACACAGAGCGATCCGGTGATTCCCACTCATACTGAGCCTATGTAGGGTTTCATCTTTCTCCTGAAGAGTGGCTGCCGGGTCTGCACCTGACTGTGAGCTGC